AGGCCACAACATAGCTTCTCAACAGTAAAAATACCAACAATGGATAATTAATGTTTGCTGTATGTTGTTCCAAGAATATATCATCAGGATATGGTGGTTGTAAAAAGGAATGAAAATTATTAAAAGAAGATTGATTCACGGTCTGAAACTTTGCAGCACTTCCACACCCCTCGCTGCTATCGAGTCTGTTGTATCTGGTGTTCATGATCCCATTGTCTTTATCCGGGCGTCACCGGCGGCAAACGGTAGCAAAAGTATCATCATCCCCATGTTAGTTCCTTCCACGCCACTCCAGACCCCGTTCTGCCTTTCTGTCACCCAAAGCGACGCTTGTACGAGCAAAAGCGCCAGCACCAAGCGCCATTGTTAGGTATTATTGTTATACTTATTTTCTTTTCTTTAATTTGGTGGCATGCACTGAATATGATTACAATTGGATATGAAATATAACAACAATAAGAATGGCGCTTTTTCTTGCCTCCACTGGGACAGGACGGAATTGCGAGTGTGATGGAGTGGGAAAATCGCTGAAAGTTGGAAATAATAAATCAAGAATTAATGATATTTCATCCTACCATTTATGTTGCGGGGAGCTTGCGGTGGAAAAACGGGACACGGAAAACTCAAAACCGCGCACACAAATACCGCGAGGTTAGTGTAAACACACACAATACACGATAAAATTGTTCGTACATAATCTGCCATCATTAAAATCGACAAAGCTTCCATTAAAAATTATCATCGGGTAAACACCACCAGAAAATAGCAGAGGGCGAAAACGAAAAAAAAAATGTAATAATGTGAAGCGTTGCAGAGGGATCAAATTATAAGGCAGTGCTGCTATTTGGTTGAGCAAAGAAAATTCCTCGCTCACATACAAGCGCATATAATAGATTCTTACGAGGCAGGGAAAGCTCTCAAAACTCAGGAGAAATGCCACACGCAGAGGAACAACCAGGAGCCAGAGAACAAGAATCCAGTGTAATTTTTATATTACACATATTTACATTAATCTTCCCCACTACATGGCAATGATTAGTACACTGGTCGCCATGTATTGCGTGTGGTACAATTTTTACTCTCTTTCCTGAGAATGGCTCTACAAAAGGACTATGCTTCTCGTGTCCCTTGAAGGAAGCCGCGTTACTTTTTTGCTTTGCGATGCCCGCTGAGATCGCGGGTCGCTTCTCAGTAAGGACAACTATAAAGACGGACGCCGTGGTTGTCGTACGTGCGCCGTATGGGCAACAATGGGGAGGACAGCGCCGTGTGACAGAGAGCGAACAGTGCAAAGCAGAGAAAAACACAACAAAACATTGAGAAAACTCACACCCCGAGACTGTAAGGCACACAATACACAGCAGCACCCCAGCAGGGGAACCCTGCACACCTAATCTTCCATGTTCGTCACGTACACACTGATGTACCAACTGACAAAAATTAACCACACAATTTCACCCTCTCGCTCTTTCATGGCCGCACACAGCCGCGGGCATTCCCTTTCCGTGGTGGGGCTACTGTTGACTGAGGTTTTATGGCTACTATCAGGACGGGAAGTGGTGCCAAACTTTTATTTTCTTATCGGTTAGGAATGGGATCAAAGATCCGGGACATTACCAGATATGCACTCGATCGATTGATTTCAAACTGACTCCTGATTTGGGCGGTTCATCGTTGGACTCAGTAGATTTACAATAGGTACAGAAATCCCTCGAAAAGCGCGGTAAAAGGTGCAGGCCATACACTGCTATTTCTCGACTATCCTCCAACCAACTGAACTTATTTTCGTTGAAGATTTGTATACGATATATGAGGCGATGTAAGTATAGAGTTGATAGTTTCGTTAGAGCACGGCAGTACGCCACCACTGGCAAAAAGAGATGATCACCGACTCGCTGATGTACCAACGATGTTTTTGAAACAGTTCTATCGATTGTACCGCACTCAAGTTGTTATCTGAAGGAAGGCATCCACTCGTAGATTTGGGAATTGCAGCTATTGTTACCTCTACCACGGTATGCGCTCCTGTCATCGTCGACTTGACAATCTCGAGGGGACACGGGTAGGGTAAGTGCTGCTACTGTACCTTTCGATCAATGACAGTTATTGATGGTAAGCTCCCATCCAGAGATATGTACTTTAGCTATTTGTTTGTTTGACTTCTGCGTGAAGTTAACGATTTACATATTTGAAATTAGCATCTTCAACTATGTAAATTGTTAATTTCACGCATAAGTTATACAAACAAATAGCTAAAGTGGTGAACTTATTTTGTGATTAGTGTCATTCATATACCTGGCACATACAATAAGCCAGTTCAATCGGTTGGAGGACAACCGAAAAATAGCGGTCAGTGGGCTGCACTACTCACCGCGCTATTCGAGGGATTCTTGTATTCTCGGATTGTTGTATAAACGTTTGCAGTTTAAAAAGTAGACAATTTTCGTTGACAAAATCGTGAAACGTCTATTAAAGCTATAATTGATTACTGTTCATACCACAATTATTTGAAATTGAGATACGCATTGCGTTTTGGTAGTTACATACGTGCAAATCAATGAGGAACAGTGACAGGAAGAAACTCCAATCGTTTGCCGCAAGTGTCTCGGTTTAAGCAGAAGTACCGTGTGGATAATGCATAGTGTTTTGGCCTAATCTTGCATCTGATCATTACGCAAAAAAGTCGTGAGATGAAATGGATCGTCTTTCAAACCCAATGTTTCAACATTTCCAACTGCGTCCAATTAAAGATTTCTGCTCAAATTTTTAAAGTGACATATTCTACAAAAAAAAATAAAGTTTTTTTTAGAACTTTGAGGGTAAGCCAGGACCCAGAATTTAGAAAAGTAAAGACAATTTCCCATAAAATGTATTTCATGTACTCATGATTTATGTCATCTTTGCTTTATATAAAATCCATCTAAGATTTTATTGCATTTCTGATTTTACTAGACCACTCTTAGGGTATTCTTTCTACTTGGTATTCCATGCCAAACAGTCCAGAAGCTTATAGCGGAAATTTGAGAAAAGAATTAACTGATGAGATCATGTTGCCAAAAACGGGTATGTACTGTATTTCAGCAGATTTTACGGTCTGAATATGTAAATAGAAATATATTTTATGATGCTGCTAACCATATACACATAATGAACTTTTCTTTCTGAGTTATGAAAACCTGTTCTTTAATTTTTCTTCCACCTGTGAGCTTGAATCGGTTAAAAATTGGCAGAGTAACAAGCATTTGAAGTAAGTCTTGAAGTTGTGTTTTTCACACATATTATTTAGCAAAATAAGTACTCAGCATTGTTCAAGATGTTGCGGAATATCAGAAATAAATTTGGATTTCGTCCAGCCTTTGGCCACTGTGGAGCAGTAGCAGCTCAGATTACAGTATGTACATTAAAATCTGGAGGTGTATCGTTGGACAGCAACAGCAAGGCAGTAGAGGAAGTGTCAGAGGTGCTGGATGAAGAGGTGGTGAAAATAGGTGTTGTAACCCCGATGATTGATAAAGCCGGCATTGACTGATATACTACCAGTAACGCACAGTGGGTCGGCAATCAGTGGACGACAAAACCAATAACTATTAAATAAAACATTTTCCATGCTTTCGTCTTCGAAAAAGTTTCGAGTTATTACGAAAACCATCTATTGACGTAAATCGATAGTTTGAAACTCATCCACATAGATGGTGCCACATTCAAAATTTGGAAACAAAAATAAAATAGGTGTATAAATAATGAAATGGTGAACAATACACCCGACCGGTGGATGTAAGATTCGCTTACAATTATGTGGGATTCATCATCAGAGGATGTAAGTGGAGACCGCATGAACCGTAATGTAGCATTATCTTACATCCCCCCTTATCGTGTGACATAATATATGCATCACCCCTAGTGCATAAAATGGAGGGTGTACGAAATATGAAAAATATGTACGGAATATATGTAGAACTCGTTGTTATCATTTAACATAAATATGATTGTATTCTAGAGCTGATGCATCCTTAGCAATATGGTACAAAAGGCTTACTTAATAAGAAATAATAATTTGGAATAAAAATCCATTATTTCAAATCACTTAACACCGTTGCGATAGAAAACGCATCGAATCATTGAATCACAAAACCAACCGGCAACTTTGCCACCCTTCCAGCCGCGAAACTAAACTGTTTACAAAAAGCTTATTTCATGATCACTGGCAAAACGAAGTCAGTCGTCCTACGCTCACAAATACCCATACCGGCGAGAATATGGGTGTAGGGAGACGGAAAAATCAACAACAAAAATACGCTACCAAACAACCCACCAGCATAAAAGTAGTCAGGCCCTCCAACGATGCCATGACAAGCCATGCAAAAACCTCGTTGAGAGAGCGGTGCGGTAGATACACTCACACTAGAGTCTGAAAAATAAAAATTTTCTCTCTCGCTATTCGCTCTCGCTCGATGTTTTTCTCGCGCGCGATGTTTTTTTTATATCTTGACACGCTCTGTGTTTTGAATGCCAGAGTATGCGACGACGCGCCGCGAGAAAAAAGAAATTGCCGCGAAAAAAGAAAAACTCAACTGCGAGAGCCGTGAGAGTGAGGAATAGCGCGCACACTTCGAAACCGGGCCGACGTGTATGCAGCGGAACTGCGTTTGTGTGCATTCGTCAGGCGCCTCCATCCGGTGGGTTGATGGGTGCGAGAAGTGCATCAATTTTTTCTCTCGCTTTGATCAATGGTTCAGTAATTGGGGTTCTTGACTTTTATTCCAGCTTTCTTATGAATGGTTGCCTGTGTGGATGTGGTTGTGTTTGCTTTGGCTCGAAGCGAGTGAAGTTGAGTTTGAGCATGAGTGAGCGAGAGAGCGTAGAAAAGAAGTAAGAATGAAATGGTTGGGCGAAACGAGAAAAATAGGAGGAGGTGTCAACCATTACCTCCTCTTTTTGACGGGCAGCCGGTTGAGCTCGGAACGGGTCTCGGGCCTTTGTGTAGCGACAGTTGTAATGCTGATTGTAGAGTGTTTTGTTGTGTTGTTATGTATGTCGTGCGCGAGAACGAGTGCAGCAGTAGCAGCGAGCGAGCAGTAGGCAAGAGTAGAGGTAGCCGTCGTTTCGTTCGGTTTCGTCGGGGTTTTGTGTAGTGGCAATTATCAACCAGGTGACATTACAAGCTATTGGCAGTAAAGTTACGGCTACCGTATCACGGATCAGTGTTTCGGCGCTTCCATAGGACCGTATCGAGCTAGTGCTGTCAGACTGCGTTCGACGTGCGTGATTTTTGATTGTGATTTGGATCAGCGTGTTCAGGTTGTGCGCGCCGGTTTTGCGTGATTTGTCCGAAACAGTTGTCGAATGTTCACCGCTGTGAAATGATTCTACAATGCATCAGTGCCGTTGCAGCCCGATTCATTGCGAACAAAAATGATGGATTATGAATTGAGCAACTTGAAAGAAAGTGAGTTATGAGTGATTGGTGGAAATCATGAGTGACAAGTTACACGACATTGGGCAAACGTGTCTATGCCTCTGGCGATTAAGCTTCAAGTGACCAAGTGCTGTTGCAGCAGTTCAACGTGATAAAACCCCATCCTAAGATAGCAATTTTCAGGGGAAAAAAAACCAAAGCTCTAATAACCGTGAAAACCAACAACAAACCACCAAAAAGAGCCATTTATAATTCTGTTTGTGCTGTGTTGTGTTCCGATAAAAAAGAAAATCCAATTCAAGCCATCGGAGTGAAGAAGTACAAAGTGAATGATCGAAACGGTGACAAGTAGTGAACGGCGGTCCAGCATTCCAGGCGGAGAGAAAACCATGTCACATTTTCCTTTCCGAGGATCGCCCACCACCCAGGTGAGTCGCATTCTGGGCAGGGGTTCAACTTTCCGGTGTTCGATTGCCGGTTCACTTGAAATCGTCGCCCTGTCTCGAAGGTCGAAAATGTGCTCGTTGGCATGCGATAACAAGTCGGTATAATTTGTCCAATTTTAAGGTGATCCATCACACCGTTTTATCTGCGCTATTGGCTGTGGTTGAGGTGCGGTTAGACAACAATCACCGACCATACATAGTTCAACGGCTATAGCGTCGGAACATGCGATACGTTCAAAGGTGCTGTTTGATTGGTAGTTTCGTAGAATTTCTGTCGCCTGGTGCTCGGTGATGGTATGACGCAATCTGTGAGATAGCTTTGCTCCTTGCCATGCTGTCTATTCGAGTGGTTATTTTGTGAGAATATGAATCGTCTCTCAATATTCAAACCAGAGGTTGACGATGGGAGCGCAACCAATGTTTCCAATGAAGACATGTGTTTCTTTATCGGAATGGTAAATTTGGCAACATTGAACTTAATCGTGTCAAAATAAGGAGCTTATCTTGCCAGTACTTGAAACTAATTACTTACAAAAATGTTTTTTTTTTTTTTGTTGTTTCGTAGTCGCTATTGTTTCGAGTGATAGCGATGATATGACGATAGATCAATTAACATGCTGGCAAGTAAAATATAAATATTAGTGAATATTGAAATGTGCTAAAGCGGAAATTCCCCAAACATGGAGAATCGCGTTACAAACATTGTGTGATTTTTAGATGGTAAAATTTTGCATTTGCAGGATAAATGACGGCTTGGGGTAAACACAGAAATTCAGTGCTAAATGTTGGTCAAGCGATGCTCAGAGTCATAATGCATCCTCATGCAATAAATAAGTGCTTAGGGATTAAATGTATTGCTAAATGCTCGGCATCCTTCAATTGCTTCGAATATAGAAAAAAAAAATCAGCTTAATATAAATTTTGCGATTGATGCCATTGTTATGTGAAATTGTCCAGGTTTTTTAAGGTAGAACGCAAAGTTTTACAAATTTGATACGATCATGTACAATTTTACATTTTACATTTTATGGCGAAATACTCCATATCTGGCAACACGTTTTTACTTGTAATTACCTAGCACAGTCTTACGCCAAGGCTATCAAGATGATTTGATTGCCATTAGTTGGTGATCTCTTTCGAATGATGTAATAATATGTTTAATGATTTGATAAATTGCACACATCGTTTGAAAAATTAATATTCATTTATATTTCTTGTTAATTTAAAATTAAGTTCTTTTTCTGTGCAGACACTTCACAACAATGTTTTAGATTTTAATTTTTCATTAAATTTTATAATATTATGTACAATAGCAGCATCCCTACGCCCGCACACTGGGGATAAAAACTCAAAAAAGTATCAAAATGCAATAACTCCTGTTCGCGCTGAAGAAACTTGACAAAATATAGTCGTTCTTACATGAAAAAGTCTGACTGCAACTGGCTTCAGCTTGGGCAAGACAGTGCAAGTGATTTTCGAATAAAATCCCAAATTTTGCATAACTCTCAGTTTCAATCTGTTTGTTTGTTTCAATCTGCGCAGATATGTGCTAACTGCCGTTTTGACCTATTTTGCCCAAATTTCCGTATTCTCCAAGAAATAAGAATTAACAGTCTGTTAACAGGTCTGTTATCAATTTTATATAAAGATATTCTTGGGGAAAATTGAGAGTTTTTTTTAAATAAGGGATTCTGGAACAAAGTCGCCTAATCCTCAACTTGCACTATCCTGCCCAATATGAAACCAGTTATTTTCGTTTCCAGGAACTTTGTCCTGTAAGACACATTATATTTGATCAACTTCCTTCAACGTTTGCAAAATGCATGTAATTTTCTACGAGATCTAGAGCACACGTACTTAATGCTAGATTTGGCGTAAATTTACACGATTTATCACTTAAACTTAAGCGCAATGTAGCAGAAATCAGCAATGCTATATATAAGCTTGCAATAAATTTCATTGTTTATTCTAACTTTAGCACAACATTGAACAAGGGGAGATTTTACCCGATGGATACAATTCAGATTTTTAATCTGTGGGCGTAAATAATCTTTCACAGTTAAAACAAATACTGCAATTTTATGCTGAATTGCATGTAACATGCATATTACTGCAATATTACTTGTTGCATTAATACACGGTATAAATTTACATCAATAATAACATGCGTCGATGTTTTTTTCTTCTTCTTCTTCTTCTTCTTCTTCTTCTTCTTCTTCTTCTTCTTCTTCGGCATTATTACGTCCCCACTTATACTTTACGCCGGCCCTTATCTTAGAGTTATTTGAGCATTTCCACTGTTGTAAATTGATAGCATTCTAAGCCTGTACCATTTTTGCATCAGTGTTATGCCGCGGATGCACTTGTAAGAAACACTATCAGCATGAGCCTTATTTGTATAATAAAACTCATGCTCATCCATGGTCACACTTGTATAGTTTTTGTGCTCATAATTACATATTATACAAATGTGTGTCAAAGTGTGTCATACAAGTGTATCCGCGGCATTACGCCCAACCCTTTTTACGTGGTCTTATTTTTCTTTTTTCAATGTTCAACTAAAACCAAGCAACTGGTTTTAAAAAATCATAAAAAAAAACAAAGTCAAATATAGTACCAACATACATTTGCAATCCTCACCACAGAAAAAGAAAATTGGAAAAATTAACCCACGTAAAAAAAGGATTAGGTGTACTGTAGTACAACTACGCTCAGGGAAGTCGAGAAATTTTCCAACCCGAAAAATTCATAGACTAGATCGGGAATCGAACCCAGCCGCCTCCAACATGTTCTTGCTTTATAGCTGCGCCTTTACTGACTGAGCTAAGAAAGGCACCACTTCGATGATTGTAATATTCAAATCTAATAAAATTTGGACACATAATGGCACATTGAACTTAGGCATATATTTTTATTAGAGTGTTAAGTTTGAAAAATAGAGTAGACATGGATGTTTATCATTAAACTTGACACGTATCTGCAATTTTACTTATGATGTAATGGACCGAATTTCAGACGATTCTTTAATCCGAAGACTTCATGTATTAATATACATTACGTCTACACAGTTCGAAAAAGTAGTGTAAATTTCTGTTCAGTATGATGCACATAAATGGAGCGTCGCGTATTATATAAGTTTACATTATATATCATGTAAAGTTCTGAGACATTTCATGCAATGTAGCAAATATTGTATACAAAAGCCCAAGTTGCTCGGTTGTGTGCAATGAAACACAAATTTACGTGAATGAATGTTTACATCACTATTAAAATTCAGAATTTTTATCTGTGTACTTTACAACATAATAACATGTGTAATGATCCTGAACGAAAATAAGAGACCATGCTAAATGTAAGTACTATTTAGAGCATGATAGGAAATGAATAAGAACTTTTAAATGTGTCTGATTTCGATGTTTTACAGTATCACACAGAGTCGTAGCTTGACACAAACAATGCGATATTTTGTGCAAGTTAATTTGTGTAAGAAATTGCAGAAATTTGTATGAATATTTATAAAGGTGCAGCGACGTTCGATTTTCCAAAACATTAAAATTTATTTAGGACCGAACCCTTCTAAACCGTGCACATTCAATCATGAATGCTGCAGAACTTTGATTATAAACGTCAATCGTCATGCAGTGATGCTGTTTTACGTTATGCAAATGTACAATTGAAACTTTGATTATGAAAGAATGTATGTGCAGCTTGAAATATTTATCAGATTTGAAATGTCCCTGTTACCAATGGCGTCACCTTAACCTCACTGTACCTCTGCACCAGCTCTTAAAATGTGAACAAATCTAAAAGTATTGCTTGCAATGGATAAATTTCAGTAAGAGCTGTCAGTAAGTCTATCAGTCTATCTAACAAGTGTTTGGGCTCATTTTTTTTAGCTAAGATTCGGTTTGTATTCCGTGTTCACTTGCGACCATTACTTTTATATATAGTTATACTAAGCTAGTATTTGTTTTTCCTAATTGCAGGCAAGCCAATTCAACAATTAGACTAGTTTAACCCAACTCACGCCGTAATTATTCCATTTTCCTATTACAATTATTTACCAGGCTTCATTAAAAAAATCACAATAAATACACAACTCATGATTTCATTAAGAAAGGAAATAACAATTGTGCTTAGATTGTGTTGATCTCATAAACAATAGTAAATAAATAACATAAATACCCTTTCGCATAACCACTCCAAAGTTTGGATTATTAATATATTATAAAAGGAAACAGGACCATTTATTTAAAAAAAAAAAGTAAATAGCTATCCATGATATTTGAACTTTTTTTTTTGTTTATTGTTGATTTGTTTTTCCGTCACATGATTTGACTACATGTTTCTATGTACATATAACCATCTAGCACTACTCTACCCAAGTTGATTTGAATTTGCATTACTGAGCATCTATGGTTGATCAAATTGCAAATGTTGATTCACTTATTTAGAATATTTAATCCATAATGGATGAAAACTATTAACATATGATTGCACTAACTTCCGTGTTGTTTTGTTTCGTCCTTTAGCAGGTAGTAAAAATAAATTTGTTTCGGAAATATGACCTTGTCCGAGCGAGGCTGGCGCGTGTCACCACTATGGAGATTAATCTGAAAGTTTTTAATTGGGTTCATCTAGTTTCATCTAGATTAGTGACCACTGTGTTATCCGGCAATAGTTGACAACGTGTTTCAGTGTTTATCAAACAACAGGTCACTATGACTTGGTTTTAATTAATTTTTTATCCATGATTTAATTTCCGTCGATCTTGTTTCTCGTACTGAGTACCATTGCTACCGACGCCAGGGAGGCATCTTCCATACCTGGACCCTACCTATCGACCTATCAACTCACAGACCGGGGACCAACGGCTTTACATCCCTTCCGAAGGAAGGCATGATCAGAGATTTTATGCCTCAGAAAATCCCGGCGGCATGGACTGGGGTTGAACCCTGGCTCTTTGGGGTGAGAGGCAATCA